GAACAACTAGGGATAATCCTCTGACAAACATTACTGTCCCACAGTACACGCTGACAGTTTACAAACAAGCTAATCCTTCAAGTGTCTCTGATAAGACATCTAATAAAACGGTTTTCATGGTGAAACAAAATGGCCGATGTTTGAAAAAAATTGCTGTGTCAGAGTGCGACGGTCAATGTTTTCAATGAGCGAGCGAGCGAAAAAAAAAACGTGATTAAAATGCGGTCGGTTTCCGGTCGGACAAGACTGCGTGGTCGGAAATTAAGCGATAAGCGGCCGATGTAAAAGCGGAAGGTTGGGCGAAATGAGTACTGTATGACCATGTTTCTCGGACGAAGTCTCGACTGACAATAATGCTGACAATGGACGTTAGATAAACGCGCATTGTTTGCAACTGGAAGCTTATCACCCGTTATATCAGAATCGTCAACAACAGAGTATACAGATAAGATGTTATCATTTAATTCCTTCCAAAGATAAACACTATGCAAATATCCACGAAACGGCAGTTGTAGTCTTTTCTGCTAGTGTTTTAAAACACTAACTTGAGCAACGTTATTTCGCAATTTTGATCTTTTGTAAACCTGGGGTGATGTATCAAGGTCTAAAGTAACCGTTTTATCAATTTTTGAAAAATCAAGAAAAAAGTGAAAATTTCCCTTCTTGCTACCTTAAGACACTTCATGCAGGTCAAAAGTGACTGGTTGCCAAACACCAGTTGTTCGCATCTGAAGATAAAACAATGAAATTTGTTCACAGATGTTATTATTCAATTTACAAGCATGCGTCCTAGTTAATATAACAACTTTCGGGCTATGTCTCTGCAAATCGTGCTTTAGTGCGAATCCATGCATGACGTTTTTTGTTAAACTATTGCAAATGCTGGTTTGCAAAAATGAAAGCGAATGACGTCAAAGTGCACCGGCATTTTTGTCAGGTGTGGTTTTGAACCGAAAAACTGCCAGTGGTATAAAAAAAGTTTTTTTTGAGGAGGAACAGAACGTCTGGAACATAAATTCACAGTCTTTGCATCTAGACCACAATCTTATTCTTTAGCAAATGCTAGAGGTACAGCAATCCCATGGTAATACACATTCACATGGCAGTGCACATTTGCATTGTAATACACATTCGCATGGTAATACACATTTGCATGGCAGTGCACATTTGCATTGTAATACACATTCGCATGGTAATACACATTTGCATGGCAGTGCACATTTGCATTGTAATACACATTCGCATGGTAATACACATTTGCATGGCAGTGCACATTTGCATTGTAATACACATTCGCATGGCAGTGCACACTCGCATGGCAGTGCACATTTGCACTGTAATACACATTCGCATGGTAATACACATTCGCATGGCAGTGCACATTTGCATTGTAATACACATTCGCATGGCAGTGCACATTTGCATTGTAATACACATTCGCATGGTAATACACATTCGCATGGCAGTGCACATTTGCATTGTAATACACATTCGCATGGTAATACACATTCGCATGGCAGTGCACATTTGCATTGTAATACACATTCGCATGGCAGTGCACATTCACATGGCAGTGCACATTTGCATTGTAATACACATTCGCATGGTAATACATATTCGCATGGCAGTGCACATTTGCATGGTAATACACATTCGCATGGTAATACACATTCACATGGCAGTGCACATTCGCATGGTAATACACATTCGCATGGCAGTGCACATTCGCATGGTCATACACATTAGCATGGCAGTGCACATTCGCATGGTAATACACATTCACATGGTAATACACATTCGCATGGTAATACACATTCACATGGCAGTGCACATTCGCATGGTACCGTATTACCCCAGGCACATGCCCCTCCCTGGGCAAGCGCCCACCCCCCTGTTTTCACAAAAGTTACATGTTGGGGACATCCTCGGTTAAACACCCAGGGTGATTTTTAGCCAAGAATTAGGTCAACAATAAAGTTGTATTTGTCAAAAACGAACGCGTTTGATTTATTTAAATAGTGTGTTTGTTACGGTAGTTCTCTTTTTTGGAGTGTGTGGTGGCCCTGAAAAGGGCCGTTTTGTTTGTGTTTTTACGTAAAAACTCATTGGAAGAGCATCGCCAGGCAATGGACGCAGGGCTCTTTGGCAAGGAACAAAAACGTATCCGTGTCCAGCCATTGTTACTAAAAATGTAACCGTGCATTGATTACAATATTTACCATAGTTTGTAGTCAATTTCAGTGAGTAATACAACTTCATTCGCTGACATAAAACAAGTTTTATTCTTGAAATTCGACCCTGTGTCTTAGTGTTACCACAGATCTTGACCGAGTGCTCACGTTTATTGAAACCTCGCATAAATCAAGAAATAAGTACGTGTACAAAGTGTACAAAAGCATTCCTTTATTTGACCTTATCATACGATCACAAAAACAACTTTTTAAAATATTTTTTGGGGTGGTCCTCGGGTAAGCACCCACCCCCAAATTTTTCCCGATTTTGTACGTTCAGGCCCCTGGGCGCATGCACGAGGTAATACGGTAATACACATTCGCATGGCAGTGCACATTCGCATGGTAATACACATTAGCATGGCAGTGCACATTCGCATGGTAATATTTATTCGCATGGTAATACACATTAGCATGGCAGTACACATTCGCATGGTAATACTTATTCGCATGGTAATACACATTAGCATGGCAGTACACATTCGCATGGTAATACACATTCCCATGGTAATACACATTCGCATGGTAATACTTATTCGCATGGTAATACACATTAGCATGGCAGTACACATTCGCATGGTAATACTTATTCGCATGGTAATACACATTAGCATGGCAGTACACATTCGCATGGTAATACACATTCGCATGGTAATACACATTAGCATGGCAGTACACATTCGCATGGTAATACTTA